GGCCTTTGTGAGGGATATCACACGCCAGACAGGACCTCAAGTGGAACCGAAGTGAGAAACGACAAGTTCAGCATGTGTCCGAGTATGCCGTGAAGGAGATCATGTGAAAAGGAGATGAGAACCTACAGGCAGTCGTACAGTCAGCTAAAGACGACTGGAAGGAAGAGGATAAAATTGCGGGTGTGCTGGCGAATCGATATGATCCGCTTGGAACCCAAAGGAATAGTAATACTAATAATAAGTTTCCTTAAAGTCGTACACGAGAGTGTTAAACAATGAAACCAAGACTGCGCAGAGTATCTTACCAAATGATTTTTAACGATTGATATGAAAATATTAAATCTAATGTGTATAAATAATTTACCAATCGCCTGAGTTCTCCTTACTTTTCTCTCTCAAACTGTAAATATATATATAGGTCCTAATGTTAGAAATGAAAAATCGATAATTTTGTAAAAGTTTCTTTGTTTAGAATTATTATTTTTAGCATGATGTCGTCTAACAGCTGATTATAAATTTATGACACTGAAGAATTCACAAACAACAATGGAAAATTAATTTCTCAGCAATGTTGTCTGATAGTAAGTTTGAAGTTTCCCTATATGACGTGAAATATTGTCGATAGTATCGTGTCTTGGCAATTGACATGTCAACAGAAAGGAACGATTTTAGTCGAGTAGAATCAGTTGACAGGAACTCAGAATAAATGCAATATAAATAGCAACTAATACTTGCTGCACTAAAGGTGACTGTAGTGGTCGAGCAGTCCACGGGATAATGTTTAGGTGTGTGTGAAACGATGAGTGCTAGGCTCGATATGCAAACATGGATACATTAAAAGTTGACGTTTCCGAGGCAGGGAGTAAAGTGCGTCCCGGATTCCACTATCAGCTAACACTGATAAAGTATCTTCACGCATGAATAATGGTAAAAATAACAGTTTGTATTCAGTAACTGCATTCCGCCTAAACATGTATATGGCCAGAAATTAGTAATATGAAATTCACTGGGAAATGTTGTTGTTGGTAAACTGGCATAGTGAAATATTCTTCAGTTTGGCTATTTTTGTGATTGTTTCCAATACAGCAAGTATGTAATGCTATCATAGAATTATTAGATTTCATTTACCATTAATTCGAGTCATTTTTAACTGGATATAGCATTAGTAGGATGTTCTAGCTACTATATATGAACTCTGTATCAATCATAATAATAAAGATGAGTAATACAGTACAGAAGCATTTCATATCTAACAGTTTCATTAAAGATTTGAGTTTTTAAAATTATCCTCAGTATAATTCATATCGTGGGGAGAAAAACCATCTAGTATGAGCACTAACTGTAAGGTAGTCAGCTTTTGTGAGATTATAATTAATTAGAAACTGATGTGTTAATGAAAACTCTGTATCATGTAAGATGTAAACTTTTCAAATCTTCAGTATACTCACTAATACAGTTCACATGAGATTACCGAACAACAAGGTACACTTTTATTTAGTACTGAACACTAGAAGTCAGCGGATATCTCTGGTCTTGAGTTGAGACATTTAACTCAGTGAGTTAGTCATTTCAATCAGTTTTAATTAATTTTATATATTTAAGGAGGTACAGTGAACTTTTTTCAGTCATTAATTTTTCATTCCATGCATTCCCAGTGAAACATTGGGCTTCAGACTTTGAAGTTTCAGGAACGGCAGTGGTACTTTTTAAGTGAAAGGGTTACTGGCTATATGTCCTACCTACTTCTTTCTTTTCCAGGTTTACAGTTGGCCAGTTAACTAGGCGAGGTTTTAGGAATGCACCGGTTATTCACTAATAATGATTACACATTAATCTAGTTTACTAGCTGGTTCAAAGCTTGTTAAAAGGGGGAAGGTTAGGCGTAAGGCCAGTGACACCACCTGGAAAATCCATTCAATGGATTCAACAGGAATTTTGAAGTACACTGAAAAAATATTTTAAAAAATACTTTGCTGTAATAGGAGAGACGAAATGACACAGAATGGTGAAAGCCTTCAAGAAGCTAGTAAGTTGATGTCTTCCTTCGGTGAAAGCAAAAATAAGCATAGGGATATACAGTGTCCGCATAATGTTTGAACATGCGAAGGCTGCTCAAATTGTAAAAGAAATGAGAATAGATGGAATGGAAGTGGCCAATCCAAATTACTAACTGGAGAGTCAATAATCTACTCCAGTTACCCAGACAAAAGCCCACTAACATACTCAGGGAGTGAATATTATGATGTCATCAAGAGCATACAAAGCTCTCATGCAGTGGGAACCGATCCGCTCTAGAATAATACCGAATGGAATGAAAACTGTTCAAATACACATTGAGAAGACTGTTGAGTGATATCACACGCCAGGCAGGACACCTAGAGTGGAATCTGAATGGGAAATGACAGGTTGGACATCCTAGAGTAATATGGAGGAGGTCGTGTGAGGAGGAAATGAAAACGTATAGGCAATCAAGGAGCAAGCTGAAAGGGGCTGCAGAAAACAAGATGAAATGGAAATGTGCTGTTAAAGGGTACCAATAGAATAATAATAATACCTTAAATTACCACAATCTATTTAGTCTTATACTATCAGTAAGAAAGAGGCGAAACAAAACGTGATATAAATGGGATAATTAGTTTTCCATTTATAACACATTATACGGCTAATTCCTAATAAGGCTAGCTAATTTTGAAGCTAATTTTGAACTACGTAACTTCTGTTCTACACAGATGTTTCTTTCTACCTTTCACGTATATGTAAATGTATATTTGGCTAGACTTGCATTAGTCAAACTCATTATACAATTATCTGATAACATATCCATTAGGCATTCGATCAAGTAATTTAGACAAAAGGCGGAAGTGAAGTGAAAATCTGCATTTTATTCTGTATGATCTAATCCAGTTTAGTATTTAATTATTAACCCTGTGATTATAAATGAATGATTCTTACTAGTGAAAAAGAGACTCACTATTTTAAAACAAAATAGAAGGCAAATAAAAGCTGATGACATCTGTGACTAATTATTTTTTCTCATTTCGACTAATAATTTTATTGAATATTTTTCCTATTTTGAGGGAAAAAAAACTTGTATAACAGATGTTGCCTTACTAATGTCCAGATTTAAATAACAACAACAACAGGTGATACTTGTTATTTTTTCTCCTTGAGATAAATCTTTTAGATCTAAATTATTAGGCAATCTTCATAAATTATCAGAGTGACGTCAACATTTTTGTAGACTATTGAGAACAGAAGGCAATGCGTTCAATTTACGGTACATATACTGTGAAAAGAATATTGTAAAAAGGAGAACAAATCATCTGTACAAAAATATGTATTACATTAACAAATAACATAATTGTTTTCTCTGAAAAGTGAACCACCTTTGTATGAAGATACTAAGAGACTGAAACGAGAGCAGTAGGAGAGTATTCTCCTTATAAATAGTTTTTTTTCCTTTCTTTTGGTAAACTTGAATTATGTAAATGGGTTCAGATAAAGAAATGTAGTCTAACAAGTTTAACAAAATAGGCTGAGAACAATACGATTAAATGTAAATCCAAGCACATTAAAATGTGCATCTTGATAACCACCATAAAAAGCCTTGAGTCTAGTAATAATACTGCAGATTATTATGGTACGGAGTAATTCTCAAATGCTTCTGAACCTAAACTATTAAGTACTATGGACAGGATGAAAAAAATTACATTCATTTTTATCCATAAACTGAATAACATGGCTTCTTACACTCCTATTAATAAACTTTATGAAATCCTATTGCATGCATTATGCACCATTCACAACAGATAATTTCGGAATATCACAGTTACTTGAAGTATATATCGTACATATAGTTGTGATAAAGACTTGAGAAGTTTGTCTGTCAAATACAAAGTGTTATAAAAGTGTCGAATTTCTAGTAACCATACTAATAATCACACCAAGACATTTCGAAACTTTATATAAAGGAAGGTGATGAAAGTTAAAATTTTCACAGTGTAAGAGCAAAATTTAAACTGCGTAACCTATTATCACAAGGTCAAGATCTATTTTAAGTTAACATTATGTTTTTTTGGAAAGCCAAAATAACCTTGCTGCAATGATCATAAGCATTTCAATTTGTGACTTTAGGAATTGACCATTTTTAATTGGCATTCACTATTTCAACCTGGAATTTTCGAAACTGGTGAGTTTCCTTGGAGCTAGTCTGAAACTGTTCTGATTCATAAAGTTTCAAGTATCAAAAATTTAACCTGTAGAATTTTTCCTGTAACTTCCACTTAGTTCGAAATTCAGACCCTTCAACGTCATGTAACTAATATACGCGGACGCACGCATTATTAAATACTGAATAATTAAACGTATTTTATTATACCTAAAAAATGTATGTATTAGAAAATGCATTCAACAGTCATACTAGAATGTCAGATGTCACTAAACTTGGTCTGTCAATTTATGTGCCCTGTGTCATTTTCTAATTGTTAGATGTGAAACACATAATAAGACATCTAAATTTATGCACGAAAGAGATACGTCTAGTAGAATAAAACTGTACTACCATTTTGTGAGATAAAATGATATCATAATATAATAACTACACAATTTTAACTTTGATTTTATTGTCCTTAATAAAGTAATACACTGAATTTGAATATCCATGAATTTCTCGTAGAAATGTACCGGTTAATTCTGCATTACTACATAATCATTATCTTTAGGACAATTAGTATACTACGAATCATCTCAATTTATTTACTCATTAACATCGCTATAACTTCTAATTAATACACAGTTGTGATGAATACTGTGCAGGAATTTCGTCAATAGCATAAAATGAAAGTGTTTCAGTTGTTTCACCCCTTATAAGTGTGCATAATGAAGGTTAAGACGTCAGACCTCAAAAATGTGTAAAGTGCAAAAAAGTAGTGTGGGAATGTAGTAGGACAAGAATTAAAATATATCCGAAACAAATAAAAGATTCAATACTGTTGACTTACTCCTCCAACTTGAAATAGAGCCTTCTTCAAATTCATCCATTTTTCCACCGTCTGGAGGATATAAAGTAACCAAAACTTTGATGAAATCGGTTATTGTTAGCATTCCTATATAGTTTTGCTTTGATGAATCCCACAGTATTGCGGCTCGTACATTGTTATATATAAGAGCATAAAATGCCTTCTTAATCTGAAAAATCGCATGTTTAGTTGAAAACTATGATACTTAAGTATCTTACGCTGAGATCAGTATCAAGGATTACCAATTTCGCACTTTCGGGAAGTAAATCATAGCAGGTATGATGCTTGAGAAAAAAATAATAGCTGCTTTTCTCTGATTCTTATCTTTTTGTAGTTGATAATAATTCCAGACTTACCGAGGGCCTCAATAGTAAATGTTGGACTTGAACGTCCTTGCTGAATACATCAGAAAGTGTGAAGTAAATTACCTGATTGAAAAATATCAACGATTTTGTATCTTCGGAGTCAGTTCTTCTAATAGCCTGCTTCACATCACCTTGTTCATCATCGGGGCGCGTAAGCATACTCATGCATTCCATTTGTGCGCAAAGTATAGGCCGTAACCTTGAATCAGATGAAGCTCCATTTGATGATTTTAAAGATGCTAAAGTTAATATCGTATGGTTTCAGAATTTTTATCCAACGAAGCCATCAAAGAGAAAAATTTAGCGTTGGGTAGGTAGCTTTTGACCTTCCTGTGGTGATATTTATTAGAAAAGTTTTATTTCAATAGAAGTTTCCGTCTACATTTGGGAAGTTGTTTATTTTATTACTTGTGAATTGATAGATAATATGTGTTTTCCCGTTTCACTGCACTTGGGGAGTTATCATAAAGACCAATAAAAGTGATGCAGTATTTTGGATTGTGAACAACTGGATTGAAATTATACAAACGGGGTTGAACGGGGATGCACATGACTGAGTAAATGAATCCTCTTAACTCCTGTTTTGTTATGAGTATTTACAAGTCATTTAAAAGACTGTTTGATCGGGTCATTAGTAATTTAAGTAACGCTGGCACTGTGTAGCTAATCAGCTGCATAACTACAAAGTTACACTTGTTTGGGTTCAACTATTCTGATATTACACGTCCCCCAGACTTCGTGAGTGCTTTCAGGTTTCATGTTGAGCATAGAATTTACGCGCACGCCACCGAAGTTAGAGCTGGTGCGCATCAATTTTTATCCTGCAAACCGGTTATAGAAAATACACCAGTCGAAATATATACTTTTCAGCAACAGCTTATAAACATTTTGGGATAGCTGGCATTGTAAATATGTAGTATAACATAGGATTGAGATGTAGAAGATACAAATAGTTGGATAGCACGATGATGTTCAAATACGTAGATGGTGGATATGCAGTTGACGAACGAACAGAAGAGCAGATATGAGTACGTATCACCCAAGAAGGGGAGGATTTCCGTGCGAATGATTACTATTACATGTGAGTGCCAGTGGTTCAGTTTATAGATAGTCAGTAAATTGATATTATCCCCTTAGACAAAAGAAAACTATTCACTAGATGTTGGATTTGAATGTCAGAAAGGGAATATACATCCTCATAATGCTCCTTTGTGATGGAAATTTGTGACTGAGTAGAAAATATGTGATTACCGTTCTGAAAGGGATTCAACAGCTACATTTAAAGCTGGGTATGTAAAAGGCGTTACAGCCAAAGTGGTCCGACTTGAAATACTATTTAATCGTCCTCATAGGGATGCATCGTGTTAGATAGCGTCGAACATCTCTAACACGTCTGCTTTAGTATGCATTCATTAAGCTGAAGATAATTGTGCTGAACTCGAACATTGGATGTATCGTCACCATAAATAAATGGCGATGAATTCAGTATTTGTACAGTCCTGATTTGTGAAAGGAATGGTGGCAGTTAGCATAATAATAATATATATTTCCTATCAATGTAGGACACACCAGTTGTACAGGCATGGATAAGTATTATTTAAATTACATGAATTTGATTTATAGTGAAATTACATGGTTGCTGTCCTCTCTGATATCAGTTAGTGAGCACATTCTGATAGTTAGTCGTTCAATGGAGCACATAAAGAAATATAGAAATATTGTCTTCGCATTAACAAAAAAACCAAAGTACGTGTCGGATAAATTACAAATATTTGGGAAAAAAATAAAGCTTGAAGTCAATTCCTCCATATAACTTTGTTGTGTGCGGCATCGTATCTTGTTTTATGTTCAGATTGTGTATTAATTTAAAATGAGTGATTAATTTTTATGATTTTGACATCATTTTTTTGCAGGTAATACCAGATGTGAATTCAACTGAATGCAGATTAATATTGGTCATTGTCAAGCAGATTTGTTTTACTGCGCCCAAGTCACCCATAGCCCGCCATTTGTCACAGCATGGTTGCTCCGTACGAGTAAGTTGATAAACACGTAGAAAGCTATATAAAAACCATTTTAGATCGTTGACAGTGCTTGTATAAGATGCTGTACAGCGTCTAGTTATGGTGACAGTGGATTTCATCAAGGATGCTGGGCCATTACTAGCCAAACCTTGAGGGATGATATAAGAGTAAGTGACTTCAATTGTTTCTCAGCTTCAGTCGGAATGTAGATCAATGCAACTTGTACTACAAAGTAAATACAACAGAATATACAACAGAATACAACAGATAATATATAAATATATATAATGATAATGTGCATATGTTAAGCTGATATGCAGCAAAACCGATTTGAGTGAATCTGTCTAGTAATCAGACTGGATGTTTAATAAAGCACGCGATAACTGATTCTGTGCTAACGAACGATATTTGTCAGGCATTGCTCCAAACCATCCTAAGAGCAGATTAATCGTGCTTCCACTTTTGCACGAAGAGATTTAAGGGTAATCTTGCCATCACTTGAAATAGATATGGCATACAGAATTTATGGCAATAAGAAAGTGTGTATGTCTAGGCCAGAATACCTAGGATATAAGGGTTGAAATAGCGGCTGACTTGTATCAGTACACTTATTTTAAATGAAAACCTTTGTTAGCTCTTCCTTGCACACCCATGCAAATCCTTTCAGTTAACCAGAATTTACACCCACACTTTTCACCGAGTGGCTTTATTGCATATTCTCGCTAATTGAAGCGTCGAGGTCCTTTGCTATGTTGGTTTAGTGACAAGTCATGTTTTTATGCTATTTAAATGAAATTTTGCATTAAAACTTTTCTGACGTACATAATATCGGCAGCATAATGTACTTGATCTACGTTACACTTGCCGCACTTGTATCAGGAAGTGTCTCTTGATTCTGATAGCTGCGCAATCTGATGGATTTAATAATGTAGTGGTTTCAAAATCTAAACGTGTATTTTTGAACTTACACAGAATCATACTGGCATATTCGGCCTATTCATTGAGACGCTATTGTCTTAATTGGTTTGGTATTCATAGCTCAATTTAAGCATTAATTCCAGTTTTCACGTACTCATAACAGTCAGTCTTAAGACAAAAAGTATTAGCACTATGGTCATAATATGTAGCATTGTTGTGAACTTGTGTTTCAAATGGTCTTTATTTTGAGGTGAGATTTAATTGCTACAGTATTCTGATTTCTCAAACATAACCTTAGGCTCATACGTGAAAGAAACTTATTATCTTAGCTAGAATACGGAAAAGTTGTTCAGAAGGTAAGAAAGACTTAATTTCTCACTTTATTCTCATAAATACTATTGCGAATCGAGTTGCACTGCGATTCCAAATGCAGCGAAAGATCACGAATGCCTTGCCCTCTTTTCTGAATAAGAAAGTTACTAACACAGGAACTACTTCACAGTACCCTCTATGTTAGGTTCATTAGGGACAAATTTAAGCTTTTCCACTTCAGTGTTATGAGTTAATTTGTGAACTGTTTAAGCCCTTACAGCAGTGCATTTGGCATGGAGACCTCAAATTGAAATCAAAAGTGTATGTGTTTTACTAAATCTTATGCACTTCCTGTATAGACTTGATGTTCGTTTAGTGGTCATTTGAATGTTGCAATCAAGTTAAAACTCTAACTCGTAATTCTAAGAATTGTTGTCATTTTCATTGGCAGGAGTTCACAATCTATTGAGTTTACATAACCACAATGCTCATTTCTTACTTAACTGAGGAAACATTGACTGGGTTTTTTGAAAAAGTAATGCATCAGTTTGTGAATTTTATGAATTCTACAAATTGCATTCTATTCACTTAACACTGAAACTAAACTACGAGGGAACTCACATTTCCAAGAAGATGTAATACGAGACTCGTTTCTGCAACTGTCGTCCTTATTTTGTTTCAGTTTCACCATATATGTATTAAGAGAATTTTCTGCCACTGACTTTATGGATTTGCCAGAGAATAGTCTCGTCAGCTTAGAGTTTGCTGATGGTATTCTCCACCTAGGTTGTGAAAAGTGGCCATTGAAGCGGAGACATATGAAAATACTACTGGCGTTTGATCGTAGGTGTCTGTGCCTTATCCCCTGTGTTAAGTAGTATAATATTGTGGGTAATATTGAGGTTAAAGTTATGGTGGTAGGTAGGGATGTTGCCAGTGACACATATGAATTCACTCTTCGTAATCTCACGTATTCAACCAACCCTAATGTTTCATCCTTCTCACTATCCGTTCTTCCTCACATTTGTTCTTATTAGAGTACAATTTAATCTCTTTTTTCTATACCTTTGTGTGTTACATGGAATGTGGTAGCTTAAACAGGTACATTTTCGTGCAAGCTTCTATGTTGAGAGTCAGTGAGAATGACACGTATTCTAGGTATAGCGGAATGTTAAAAAGTGGATGATAATCACCGAAATGTCAACAAATGATAATCGTATTTTTTCATTTGGTTCTTGTCCAACTTGATAAAGGTTGCCCTGAAGAGGAAGCCAAGAATCAAAAGTCAATGACATGGACAAAAGAGAAAGTGTGAATATAATTGAACAGGATGAGTGAATCTTTTGTCCATGTAGTACGTTCAACTAAAATACAAGCGTTGTCTTCCTCATGGCAGGCTTCGTAGACATTCTACTATATGTCGTCATACATATTGTCTGCAAGTAGTCTTCCAATGCATCCACTTCCCACAAAGTTATTGGTGTGAAGCCTTGAGATTATTCACTTCGGGCCGTAGTACAATGCTTACATCGCTTGTGCAGTTACCCGCAAGACTTGTGCATGTTGCTGTGAAGTATGCCCGCGATAACATTCCCTACATAGTAAATACAATCCTTGTGGTAGCAATTCATTGAGCTGAAGGTGCGTATAAATTAGAAAAAAGTTAACCTCGTCGTATTAGTTCTCAAAAATACTCACACCAAGTGCCGATACTCCTGCTTATTACGAAGTGCTACTCGTAGTCTATGAAATAGTGTTCACTGCATTCACTTGCAACTATCAGACCGTCGTCATTTGGAGTGGTGAGATAGAAGGCGTATGAAATTTAAGTGTTAATCTGTATTCGCAGCTTATGATACAGTTTACTTCCAAACAAAAAAATGTTATATGGTTTTATGTAGCTAAGCACGATGAGTTAATATTGTATTCGTTACTGTATACATCCTGTATAAGTAAA